GGCTGCGGGGCGGCGCGGTGGGCGGCTGGCCGGCGGCGCCCGCCCGCTCGGCCCAGATCTGGGCCCTTTCAGGCCCCATCTGGGCTGGGGCGGGCCTGCGGTCCGGTGCGCGACGACGTGGCTCCCTGGTGGTGGGACGAGGGGGTTGTGGCTGCGGTGGTGGTGGCTCCGGCAGCCTGCGTGCTGCAGCGTGGTTGCAGGGACTGTCCGGACCCGTTGGGGTCCGGCCGGGCCGGTGGTGGCCCGGCAAGTCCCTGTTGCCATGTCCGGTCGGCTCCGCGCGACGGTGGAGGTTGTTCCCTCCTGTCGGCTGCGGTGTGGTTGCCTTCGATCCCGATGTCTTCTCGTCCTACCCCCAGGTCTCGTGTTGGTGGCCTCGGTGAAACGGTGAAGATGGTGCGATATCCGTGGTGGCACAGGCTGGTGGGCGGCATGTTGGGCAGTGCGCTTCCGATTGTCTTGGGTGGCGGTGGTGGTTTCGGGGCGGGAGAAATCTCTGGCGGCTCGTTCGCCACCGGCGCGGCTGCGCCCGTGGGCGTTGCCGGACCCTCCTGAGGGGCGTCGGTGATACCCCCTTCCCCACTGCCACCCGCGTACCGGGGGAAATCCTAGGACTTGTCCGGGCAGCAGCGGCGTCGTCGTCGCATTTCTTCCTGAAGATGTTGCTTGGTGCGCGAGGCTTCGGAGTGCTTGGCGGGCGGTGGTTCTTCTCCGGTGGGTGCAGCGGGTGTCGGTCATCTTTGCTTAGTTGAGCTGCCGGCGTCGGCATTTGTTTTTTTTTCTTTCTCTCCCTTTTTCTTTTGGGCTTGTTTGTGTTGCCGCCCCAGCTAACTGGTTGTATCGGTTGGACGTTGCTTTATAATCTAAAGCGGGGGAAACCCTCTTTCGTGACAAACCGCGGTGTTCCCTGTTCCACTTCCACTATCGAGTGCAACACTACTCCATCCAGAAGGGGAAAATATACGATAACCCCCCAGTTCGCGCGCCTTCGATCATATGCCCCCCTTTGTGTCACTGACATGTGGGGCCCCACATGTCAGTGACACAAAGGGGGGCATATGATCGAAGGCGCGCGAATTGGGGGGTTATCATCAATTGCCCCATCCAGGAGCGCCCTCCTCTGCACCTGACCTGCCATGCCCCCGCCTCCCGCTCCCGCTCCCGCCGTCCCATCGGTGGTCTCCTCGGGCCGTGGCACCGACCTTGGTCCCCGCGCTCAAGCCCTCCTGCAACCCGTCCCGTCCGACCTCTCGACCGTGATACGCTCCGCGGCACGCCTCTTGCCGCCTCCGCCTCCCGCTTCGGAGCGCCGCCGTCCTCCGCCGCCGCTTGGAGGAGAGCCCCCTCTGCCCTCCTTCCGCGGCCACGCGCCGACGTGCCTCTGCGTACCCGTTCCTCGGCCGCGGGTGTCTGCTACGTGTTCGACCAAATGCTTCAGTGCCCGTTTCCCCTTTCTCCTACAGTATTTTACAACTTCCAGAAAATCGCGATCCTGCGCTACTACGCCCCGTAGCAATTCCACCCGCACTCATTTGACCTGGGCTAGCTTCATCGCTCAAAGAAAGGGACGTTTTAGTGTAGCACTTTGTCATCTCTATACCTGCAAACCTTATCAACGGCACATTTATTTAATAGTGGAGTGTTCAGAATGCTTAGTCCCCATGGCATGTTTGTGTATGCCAGCTCTGTTTTCAAACTGAGAATGCTGCAGCCTTCAGACTGCACGGGCCATTGAAGGTTTTGCTCTTTGCTGCTTCTTTTATCACTCTTCTCAACATTCTCTAAACATAATGGATTGCATTGCATTCATGTCTTCAGTTATGTGCTTGATTTTAGGGAAAGACTTAAAGATCTGTATTCTATTGTCTTTCTGACCGTTTGGCGAACACTTTCAGACCAGATACAACACAAGCTTTCCATATGCTACAGGCTTGCTCTTCCGTATTTCAAGAAAAAACTAATGATTTGAATCCATTTAATTTGCCCTGATTGATGGTTGATTGCTGATTTGCAGTGTAAATCTTGTGATGTCCTATCATACAATTACCTCATCCACTCTAACACGGGTTCTTTTTGTTTGCAGGGTCATTGTTCATCTTTACTTCAAGGTCTAACTTTCAATAGCATTAAACTCTGCAAATATGACCAGCTTCAAACGGCTGCTCACTTGTGGTACTTATCTATCTTTCTGAGATAGCTGTCTATCTGATTCCGCTGACCTATGCCTCAAAACCTCTTTCAGTCTTGCCATGCGGTATTGAGTATTCATGCCCTCCTACACCTTCCTACATGTTGTAGGTGAGAGCACTGCATTGCTGGGGGATTTGTTTATCCTTATGTAAGTAATAACTCACTTATGTTAGCTAATTTTGCATGCTGTATTCCTCAGATCCTGTTCACATGCCTAATAATTGAGTAGCTTGAGTTTCTCATAGATCTGCCGGTATTGTATCTCCATATAGTGGAACTTTTCAAGCAGCTTAACCTCAAGTTTTTTTTCTTTTTCTTTTTGATATCGAGGTTGTTCTGTTCTTTGTGTATGGAACTTCTTCATGACCTCTAGGCGCTGTGTTGTCTGCCTGATAAGTAGTTTGTTCGTCCAACCCAGCTTAATAATACCATAGACAATTTTGTTACTATCATTGCAACTCATGTATAAACTACTGTTGCCTGGGAAATAAAATGTCGATAACCTTGTCAGATGCAAACTATCAGCTATACCGTGTTATTTGGTTTCTTTTATACTAGAATTTTATGCCTTCTGCGACTATGGAGTTATCAGATCCTGTACATCCAACTATAGTGCCAATTAGTTGGGTTCCCATGATACTAAAAAAGAAAGTAGAGTTAACAGGAGAAATATTCAAGCATGATACCTATCATGTTGTATTGATGTGTGCTTATCAGCTCCTATACTTTCAACTACAGAGCCAATTAGTTGGATTCCCATGTTACTAAAAAAAGGAACTTAAATTTAACATAGAAATATTCAAGCATGATACATATCATATCCTTGTGCTACCAAAAGAAATAATACTATTTTTTCCCTCTAATCCCAGTTTCTACAAGTGCAATCACAACTTTTGTTGCCTTCAATTCAATGTACGGTTACTCTGGTATGGCGGTTGTGTCTCCAGGATCTTAGCAGCCACGCCATCTGGTCCTTTCGTTGGGAACTTTCAACTGGTGAGGTAACCGAGAATTCCTCCAAAGTCTTACCCCTGTCAAGCAGAAAATGTGCAAGTATTCTTTCGAGTTGTAGTCCTTTATAATTTACAATGCTGATTCTTTTCAGCTTATGGCCCAAGCATCTGACGTACATCTGCCACAAACTATTGGTCACACGGCTACTACGGTCAACCTCATCGTCACCGTCGTCTTCAGTCTCAGTATCTGATTCGCCATCAGACATCCAGGACTCCTTCTTTTTGGGCCGACCCAGAGGTAACAGCGACAATACTTCCAGGTTCTTGGTTTCACGAAGCAAGACGGCGACAGACCGGACGGCATGGCCCTCGCGCAGGCAGCCTTTGAGGCCCAGCTGCCTGAGAGGTAGCCCCCGTACGGCATCTGCGAACACGCTGCTGTGGTAAGCCATTGATGGGCGTAAGGAAAGGTGGAGATGCGCCAGCTCGGTGCACTGGCTGATGAGTCCTGTGACCGGAGCAACCTCAGCTGATTTCCTTTTGGAGAGGTCTTCACAGATTTCTATCGTCAGCGCCATGATTCCTTTGTAGTTTGCAACATCGAAGAGCGACTCGAGGGGAATGCCGCCTTTGTAGTGCAGTGATTTCAGGCGCGAGCTGTGCAGCTTGACGTGGCTGGCATGGTGGCAGCAGATCATGGTGAACCTCCGCAAGTGTGCGCTCTTCACTGAGATCTCAGTGACGCTCGGGAGCTCTTGCAGCGTCAGGTCGGCGAGGCGCGGGCAACTTGAGAGCAGCAGCTGCAGTTGCCCTTTGGGGTCCATGATCCTGGCGAGGTAGAGCGTCTCCAGCGACGAGACGACCACCCCCTGCGTCAGGTCGAGCGTCCAGTTGGTGAGCCGCAGGCGCCGGAGCGTGCTGCACCCGAAGAAATGGGGCTGCGTCTTGATGTTTCTGTTCCGCTGGTGGACCTCGAAGTCCGCCGAGGCCTTCTCCGACGAGCCAAAGGGGCAGAGCCGGCGTCTGGGGTCGTGCCAGTACCTGAGCTTGACGTCGATCTCCTCGATCCCGGAGTAGACGGCGGAGACGATCCACTGGTCGAGCAGGTCTTGTGGCGGGAACATGGCGTCGAGGCGGAGGGTGCGGATGGGCGTCCCGGGGGGCTTGCAGAGGATCGCGCCCGTCACCATCTGGTCGAAGCAGACCGGGCGGTTCTTGCCGCCGGACCAGCGGTCCAGCGTGCCTTTCTTGGGGTCCGTGAGGTCGACGACGGGGACGGCCGCGTAGACGCCGCGCCAACGGCGAGAGAGCGCGCTGGTGCGCACGGCCTCGTCGGACGGGAGGTGGGAGAGCACGAGCTGGAGCGCCTTGTCCGGGAGAGCGCTCAGCCGGTCCTCCTGCCTCCCCCTCTTCATCTCCGTCGATGGACGAGACGCCAATCACGCGATGCGTACGTGCTTCTTTTTTATGCTGCCCAGCCCGTCGCGCGCCTTTGGTATTTGACGAGGAAATTTGAGTCGGCGCTCGCACAGATATCCACCGACTCTGTTTTGATGTCCGTTAGGAACACGCTGGTGACTCACCACCACCGCCTATGAAACGGATACGAGACTCTCTCGTTGCGCCGGAAATCCTTGATATATTGCTAGTGCTACTTCGGATCGATCTCCTGTCTCGTTTGATCGAATAGCCGGCTTCTCCTGGAAGGCTTGAACCGAAGCTGCAACCTGTAAGGCACCGGTATGGCTTCACCTTCGCGCAAGAAGCCGTCGTCATCCTCGTCGGGACGGCGAGACCGCATCAGCGACCTCCCCGACGACCTGCTGGGCCACGTCCTCTCCTTCCTGCCCACCAAGGAAGCCGGCCGTGCGGCCATGCTTGGCCGCCGGTGGCGCGACATCTTCTGCAGCGTCCACACCATCTCGTCCGAGGAGCGTGAGGGCCAGAGGGCCGGCGACTGGGACACCTACTTCTACGAGGCACAGGAGAGGAGGAGCTGCAGCACTGCGCTCCTCCAGAGCATCAGCGCCGCGCTCCTCCACCGCCGCCGGCGCCCCGGCCTCATGGTGCCGCTGCGCAGCTTCCGCTTCGCCTTCGACAGCTACCATGGGTGGGACAAGGGCGCCGTCGACCAGTGGCTCTTCGAGGTGCTGCGGCAGCGCACCCAAGACCAGGAGCTCCACCTTGACCTGCGCTTCTTCATCGGCCCCATCTGTGCACGCGGCAGTGTTAATGGCGACGACGAAGAAAAAGAGTCGAACGACAATAAGTCGTGGGGGCATGTCCTTCCGAGAACGCTCTTCTCCTGTAGAGCCGTGCGGACGATGTGCCTCAGCTATTGCAAACTGAATCTACCCGAGGTCGTCGACCTGCCATTTCTCGAGACGCTGCGCCTGACCAGCATACGAGGTGACTCCGAAGAAACCATCCAAAAACTCATCTGGAGCTGCCCCCGACTTGCTGACTTGACGCTGGAGGCCAACAACCGTCTGAAAAAACTCACCGTTCTCGACAAACGCCTCCGTAGGTTCGCCCTCCGGTGCTGCCACAACGTGACGCAAGTAAGCATCGACGCGTCGACGCTAAGATGCCTAGAATACAGCGGCTCCGTACCAGAGGAGTCGCTCATGTCCCTACGCGGCTCACCGGCAGTGTCCTCGTGCACCATCCGCTTCTGCAAGGTGAGATCCAATGAGTCGGAGTTTGTCCGGTTCAGAAAACTCCTTGAGATAGTCTCGGACTCAAAACACCTGCACCTGCACCACCGTGGCTTGGGCAGTGAATTCTTCACGGTGTCCCCCTTGTTTGCCAACCTCACGCGGCTTGAGCTACAGGGTCCCATCGAAAACAGTGACACCGTTGATACGGTCAAGAGGATACTGGAGCAGACGCCAAACCTCGAGGTTCTCTCGCTCTACATGGAGGAGCGGCAGCAGGACGTGGAGAAGCGGAGACGAAGAGAGGAGAAGATCAGGTACCGACAGCTCTATGGAAGGGTTGTAGGTGATGATCAGGAGGAGTACGACCGGTCCGTGGATCTTTGCAATCTCAGAGTTCCCGACAGTTCGTGCTTTTCGTTGCCGTGCCTGCGTCGTCGATTGAAGGAGATCAATATGGTTAACTACCAGTGTGACGTGCAGCATAGGGTGTTGGCCAGCCTGCTGTTTCGCAATGCGCTTGTGCTCGAAAGGATGTGTGTCGTGTTTGTCAAGGGGCTGTTCGCCGTGCAGGTTGAGCTGAGGAAGGAGATCGAGAGCTGGGTAGTGGCCAAGCCAGACAAGAGTTTCATGTAATTGGAGTAAATTTTGACCATGACATTATTGATTACAAGTAGATTACTTGACAAATTAATGAACACGTAGCTTAGTAGTGCAAGTAGAAGCAAGAGAGGAACTCCTAGTCAAGGTTTCGTCTATGAACGAGTTCTGATAAAAAATAAAAATCTTTTCACGGTTAACTGGGAGTCATCAATAATATAAAGTCTTGGTTTTGCTAATTCCCCGTTGGTCCAAATGAAAGTGCCGCCAAATGCTCATAACTTTTGGTGGCGTCAGTAAGAAGTTTATACCAGGTCGTGCCATATTGAATGAGAGACATATTGAACGGATTCCGTTCTATCAATCTTATGGGTGAAAGGAGACCATTTGGCATGTGATATTTGAATGCACTGGGCGAAGCTTTCCTAGCAGGAGCTCAGGGCAAGTCAGTCAAGGTAACAGAAATTCACCCGAGCTAATTGGGCCATTGATCTCAAAGGCGACCAGGTATATGGTGATGAAGATGTTGTTATTTTATGTGGAGGTTGGGTTGTGTGGTCAGTAGGGAATGCTAGACACCGCAAAGAGCGGGTTAGATCGTTTTCCGAGTGGTGAAGTGGACCGCAAAGTAACTCAGGTGTGCGCTCAAAACGTACAGGCGAAATAACAGGTAACAGAGGAGGGTTATGCTGAAAATGAATGAATGTGGATGGCAAGCTAGTTGACCATTAAAGACAGTAAAACCGCATCTAATCCCTGCCCTCTCACGAATTGAGCGTTCCTGGCCGTTTGATTTAGTCCAGTGGACATTCCTGATCGTTCGATCATCCCTTGATGCTGTGTTTGCCTCGAAATGGGCTACATGCTGTAAGGGCAGCTACTCCCATGACTTTTTTGGAGCCATGTGGTTAACTGGGCCTCCATGTTCAGCCCAATATCGTGAACGACGCTCGGAGACACAGCGCTCTCGTCTCCGTAATATACAAGAAAAAAAATCGAGAGAGAGGAAAGAATCACGGGAGGTCGATACAGAGAGGACGCCGCGGGTGCTGGATACAGGCGCGAGAGGATCCAGTCGCGTGCGAGGGAATCCATGGCCGGTCGATCCAGCACCGGGAGATCGCCAGCGAGGTAGAAAGGGGGTAATGGCGCCTCATCTTTTGGAAACTGCTCCGCTTAGACTTCAAACACACAATTAATCTTCAGTTTCTATGCACACATAGACAGAGATTGATGAGGATGCAGTGCGCGGAGCAGCCGTTTCTACAGAACATTAATGCTTTAATGGAGTGAGGTGCGCCTCAAGACGGATGGTGGAGGTCAGGTACCTACATATGCTCTGTACGGTCACCCAGGTTATTCTCCCTTCTTCCTCCAGCAGTACTGCAGTAGCATCCAGAACTACGCTTCTCCACTATGTCGCCCCTCATCCTCAATTTTGATGCAGATTTCCCTTTCCCAATACAATCCCTTGGCACTCAATATACGTACTCTGCTCGGGCTCCTGCTGATGCTGTTTTCCGCTTTTAATTTGTTGCAGTTATTGTCACCCAAGTGTTTGGGATTGCTTCTGGCTTATTGGTTCAACAAATTTCTGTAGGGTGTTTTTGGGGTTACTTTTGTTCTTGAGTTCTAAAACTGAGGATCCCAATGGCTGCTCAAAGGTAAGTTTACTCGAATGTCATATTTTATTCCATAGTCACTGTATTCATATGATTGCTTACTTTCCATTTTTATCTGTTCGTAAATATTCATGACATACTACAGTCCACTATTATTTTTGCTATATATATGCATCAGGTTGTTTAGGATGGTAGATCCTTACACGCAAGCATAATGTTGTTGTACACACTCTTAGTTTGTTCCTATATGATAAAATGACATATCTAATGTCTGTACAGTTTTTGCAAAGAAGAAAGGATTGTTGAATGTTTGGTGCTTCCAGTGTGTGCGTGCCTGATTGTGGAGGTATGTTACAATTTCACTGCATAAGATATGGATATGTGGGATGTGGCTTCGCCTATTGTCCCTCGGCCTCAACTCGGCGTTAGGCGCCAGCAGTGCGAGCGCCATGAAAACGACCTTCCACCACCATTGGAGGCAGCTGGAGACAGAATCTAAACTGTGGACGTCCCTTTCCTTTTCTCCCGTCAAGGTATGACGCCACCGTAAATCTTTAGTCCGTAGATTGGTTACTGAGGATTGCGTTCCTCCTTTCCTCCTGCAGAGATTTCTCAGTCCGTGTCGCTAAATCAACTGCTTCTGACCATAAGTCTGTGCCTAGATCCATTGAGGACTTCTTGTTTTGTTTTGTTTTGTTTTGTTTGGGTAGTTGTTTAGATACAAGATTCCGCCCAGACTGGCCGAAGAGGTTTCGGCTCCTATTACTGAATCAAATGAGATTTAGTGAGAAACCTTAATAGAGGTAGGGCTTGATTCTTGTGAAAAGGAACACCCCTATAACATATTTCACCTGCTGCTCGTAAAGATTACTAATACTGGCACCTGCATGGTTGGTGCTTTTCTCCTTGCACACCACTGCTATGGAATCTGATTGGAAGTGCCATGCGTCTAGACCAACTACGATTAGCAATGAACCACCTAAGAACTCTAGCTAGATGCTTATTACTGAAATATGATTGTTTTTGTTGGCAAGAAATCTATCAAAAAAACATATACAATTAGTGCTTTCTCAAATTCCTCTTCTTCTTTCTTTGTGCTTTTCTGTAGATCCAGCTCTCCAGTTACCTGTTGTAGAAGGAGAGGATTTTTTATCATCTTTCATCCATGAACAACTGAGATGTTTTTTCTTATCTTCGTTTATAGAGAGCCACTTCAGTTCCCAAGTGGACTTTCTTCACAACATCGACCAGGAAAAGAATCTACAGTTTAGTCTTTTTCGGTTACTTCAGAATGTAGCGTAATCAAACGGCTTCTCACATTCCAATTAAGTAAAGTCTATTTTGCACTCTATCTGCAACTTTCTCCTTTGGGGGTATTCGAATTATTTTCAGTATTATTGGGCAGGTTTATAGATGATTCTTTATTTTTTACAAAGCTGGGCAGAAAGAAGAAGAGCAGAGCTTTTTGTTTCCAAAGCCTGCCGAGCCTGGCAACTTTTGAGTGATCCTACCCGAAGTAAGATTTGTACTTAAATTGCTATGACAGGCTAAATAAAGATCCAACTCAAGTACCCTTCTTCCCAGGTTAAGGAGAGAACTGGCTTGATGAACTCTTTTGTTCACCACACACTGGCCCCATTCACACTTTTCTGCTGGACCGAAACTGTGGAGAACACCAGGTAAGAGGAATCAAAGAAATGTGATTATAAGACATGATGTTAACATCATTTGTATGAATTTTATTTCTTGTACTATTGTGCCTAAACATTTCTCTCTTAATAATTCCAAAAACCTCAAATTTAAATATGGCAGCACCAGCACTGTATCTTATTTTTGTTTATAATCTGTGTATCTATAATCGTCCTACCCTTCTCAGCATTTCTTTTACCTGGTAGCTTTTCATTTTCGGTGGAACTTACAAGCATTATCATTATTTATTTTTCTCATTCATAATTTGTATCATATGAAAGTTGCTTTACATGTCAGTCTCTTTCTGCAGAAAGAACTGCATATACTGGACACTTGAGAGGTGGTTTTAACAACCTATATTGTCCTGACTGACCGTGAGTGAGGCTACACTAATCAATCTGTACATAATGCTTTTATCTGTTTTCCAGTCTGCATACTTTGTGAGTTTGCACTGTTCCTAGATGTAAAGATATGTAAATAGAACTATTTATATTGCTTTACATGCAACCTATTTATCATGATGTATCTATCATTCTCAAACTTTGTATTGCAAATTTCGGCGACTTTTTGCTAGAGTTATTTTGGGAGCCAAAACAGTAGACGATCAATCACAAAACATGTTTCCATCAGCCATCCTAATTTAAATCGCATACACTTGATACCACGACTCGAACCAACACGTATGAATGTGCTCTCAGATGAATAGTAAATTCAAAATAAATAGTAAATAAAATTGAAAAATTCTGTCTTGCGTACATGTTCTTGTTAGTGTGACAAGCGTGCTTGACAACTTTCATGCAAAACGGGCTAGCAGTACTTCGTTGATGAAAAAACAAAATTAAGTGCAACATTTGGTATTCAACTTGTTTTTTTTTCAGAGGTTAAAATGCTTAAGCTTTTCCCCTAAAAAATTGTTGGTAGCATTGGAGTGTGACAAACCTATCTCTTTTTTTTGACATTTGCAACAAAAAAAAATGGTGCGCAGGAGCATATGTTCCCAAGAGCCGAATTGAACCGAATTGGATTTCCTGGAATACAGTACTTTCTTGTGAATCAATTGGATTCCTCTCTACAATTACATAGTACTGTTGTAGATCGACTGGCTCCTCTCCCCGATTACATATCATTTTTTTGCGAGTCCCGATTACATATCATTGTGTTGAAAAATCAAGTGGAGGCAAGAACAACCTACAAGGAAGCCCAATACATCAAAACATTGCATACAAAGTATATAAATTACTTCCAAGTCCCTAAAAACTAAAATTAGGCATGGACGGGCGCAGCAACGCGCGCCATTAACGATCTAGTTATAGATGAAGGGGCAACAGGTCTGGACGTACGAGGTCATGCATGTGTTATGCTCAGAGGCCAAGCTATATGGTATGACCAAGCTGCTGCAATGATCATGGAAGCTCTAGCGGTCAAGGGTAGAGTTAGATTAGCATGTGATCTAGGCCTCTCCCATATCATTGCTGGAACTGATGCGAAGGAAGTTGTCAAGCTGTGGAGATATTAGGAGCAGGGATGATTTGAGATTGCGTCGATTCTCCAAGGCGCGTGCTAGAAATCATCTGACTGATGTGTGTGTAAGATCAGCCGCCTGGACCACCGTTAGATTGATCCGTTGGATCCGTCCGTGAGAGTTTACGTGCACCTGTCGCTTTCCACCGTGCGTACTTTTTTTTTTTTGAGAATCACCGGGAGAGGAGTCCCTCCACTTGAATA